AGTCGCTTCATAATCACAATATATAATATATTGATTTTATTATTTCATCTGCCAAGCTATTTTAAACCTTATTTCGAATGTAAATTATTTTTTACTTACCGACTAAATTAATGCGAATGAAATGATTTGAAGAGCATTACATAATAGTAATTGCATAGTAGTAATGGTAAATAAGTATTTATGTTCTTAATTGTGAACTTGCTTTGCTGTTCAAAATTTCAATTATTAATAAATGTTCTTTATACTTACTAACTTAATGAATCATTAATGCGAATGAAATGATTTGAAGAGTATTACATAATAGTAATACATAATAGTAATACATAATAGTAATACATAATAGTAATGGTAAATGAGTATTTATGTTCTTGATTTGTGAACTTGTTTTGCTGTTCAAAATTCTAATGATTAATAAATGTTCTTTATACTTACTAACTGAATGAATGATTAATGCGAATGAAATGATTTGAAGGTTATTACATAATAGTAATTGCATAAGAGTAATGGTAAATAAGTATTTTTTATGTTCTTGATTTTTTAATTCCAATGATTATAAATGTTCTTTATACTCACCCACTAAATGAATGATTAATGCGAATGAAATAATTTGAAGGATATTACATAATAATTATTAATGGTAAATAAGTATTTATGTTCTTGATTTGTAACTTGCTTTGCTATTCAAAATTCCAATGATTAATAGATGTTCTTTATACTCACGGACTGAATGAATGATTAATGCGAATGAAATGATTTGAAGGGTATTACATTTAATAGTTATTGCATAATAGTAAAAATAAGTATTTATGTTCTTGATTTGTGAACTTGCTTTGCTGTTCAAAATTCCAATGATTAATAAATGTTCTTTATACTTACAGACTGAATGAATGATTAATGCGAATGAAATGATTTGAAGGGTAATACATAATAGTTATTGCATAATAGTAATGGTAAATAAGTATTTATTTATGTTTTGATTTATGAACTAGCTTTGCTGTTCAAAATTCCGATGATTAATAAATTGTTTTTTTTATGCTTACGGACTAAATTAACAGAAACAATTAATTAATATTTATGAACTTAATTGTAATTAACAGATTTTTTCATACTTACTCTCTAATAAATAAAATTGAATTATCAAAATTCTATGAAAATATTCTCAATTTTTAAAATATTAAAGATCAAAAAATTAGCTTACTTTTCATTCCATTCCAAATATTTATCATTATTTTTTTCCACGCCAATTCCGTAATAATAACAAATTGCAGTTTTCCGAATTCCCATCGAATTACCTGCCTCAGCTGATTTCAGATAATATTCGAATGCTTTTTGCCTATTAACTTCAACGCCAATTCCTAAATTATAACAATAACCAACTTGATACGTTCCGTCTGAATTATTAAGGTCGGCGGATTTTTGATAATTAACGAATGCTTCTTTTTCATTCTTTTGAACCCCAATTCCAAACTCGTAACAGTAACCAAGCAAATAATTTCCGTTTGCTTCGTTTGTATCTGCAAAATTTTTATACTCATCGAAATTTATTTGTTTAAAAGCGTCGTTAATTTTTTGTGCCATTTGAATTTGCAAAAAAAAAAAAAAATACGTTAAAAAAACGGTAATGCAACAAACATACTGCCGCAATTTCTTATTTTTATTGTGGTTGTACAATATTCTAAAAAAAATTGTACGTACCAGTGTAATTCTTCACAGAATTCTATAGCAGAATTTGATGCAAACAAAAAACAATGAATAGTGGCGGTTCAATGTAATCGCACAAAAATTGCATACATGTTACGCACTTTTATGCACGTACGCATAGTTGCAAATTGCACTATGCACTGATAGAAAACAGTCTTTATAATTATTATTAATAGAAAACAGTCTTTGTAATTCTTAATAGAAAACAGTCTAAAAAAATATATTACTTGTTATAGTAAACCTTGTTATAATAATTTTCTTGTTATAGTGAACCTTTTACGTAATTAATAGTGAATTTACTAATATAAGTTGCTTTAATTATAATAAATTATTAGGCTTTAAGATTTTTTCACTACATATTAAATTTTTTTTTTTGTAAATTCACTATATAACAAGGTTCACTATAACAAGATTAATTTTTTTATGTAGTGAAAAAAAATCTTTTGCCTAATATATATTTATTATAAAAAGCAACTTTGACTGTTTTCTATTAATTGGCATGTCAAATTGACAATCCAAATATAAATTTATATTATAAAAGAAATTTTAAATATTTAATATAACTTTAAATAAAAAAATAATAATTTTGCAACCAGAGAATTTAAACACTTTGAATCCGAAATTTACTATTATATTAAAAATAATAAAAAAATAAAAAAAAAATAAATAAATATAAGTATTTTATAATATTTATATATTAAAATTTTATAACTTTTAAAATTATATTATAAATATACTTATCTGTTAATAAAATATTTTTAAATTTTCAAGTTTTTTCTTCAGGTCTTCTTTGGATTTTCGTCAAAGTAAAAGTGTTTAAATTCTTTTGGTTGCAAAAATAATTATTAAAAAAATGTTATATTTAATATATTTAATATATTCTTTCATTATAAAAGTATTATTCAGATTATGATGTTCACCAGGGAATTTTTCATGCCTTTATATATAAAAATTTCCCATAAAACAGACACGTACAAAAATTTTTGTCAAAACAAATTAGCAATTCAAAATAAACATATGTACCAAAAATGGAAAAAAATAAAAACAGTTAAACACGAATGTAAAGAACGTGAATCGTGTTCATGTTCCGTGTTCATGTTCCGTGTTGTTTATGTTTCATAATGTTTATGTTGTACGTTGTTTATACAATTATATCTATATTATATGTATTCTCGATTTTTCAAATAAGGCGCGGCAATGTTTTCTGATTGGTTGATATTGGTTAACCTAACACAAAAATACACTACTGTATATAGATTATTCGGATCATAAACTCTCACGTATTCCCCTTCATTTATCTATTGAACCAAGACAGCTCTCAAAATTAGCTTCTTTACCTCGAAATCCAATATGAATAACTCTAAATTTACTGATTACGAAGTAGAAGAATTTTAGGAAACGTTGCGATTGGGAACCTGAGTTCACGAAAAACATACAAAAGAAAGGTGCAAAATGGATAGCACCAAAAAATTTCACCGTGAGTCTTTTACTATTTTTAATTTATATTAAGCTCTTAAAAGTTGTCTTTTCTAATAGTGATTCCTTTTCTAGGCACTAGATCTATTAAAAAATTCTTATAAGGAAACCAAAAAAACCTTTCATGTCAACGTCATTGCCTGAACTAGATATAGCATTAGACGGAGGTATCCTTAACAGAAATTGTGGGTCCCACGAATTTCGGCAAGACTCAATTCTGTCTTACGCTATCAATTCTTGCCACATTACCTGTTTGAATGAATGGTCTTGGCGGAGGAACATGCTCAAGGCGCTTTCCTGCGAAAAGGTATTTTTAATGTCTTTTTTGGATATTTTAAATTATGTTTTATTTTTTATACATGATTCTCATTTTAAGATCTATAGGTTAATGGAAATCGCAGTATAGATTCCCATATATTTTCGTTGATGAAAATCCACAATGTCAGAATAATCTGATAAAAATGACCGATGCAGTTCATTTAATGAAGGCCAAATCCTCTAAGGAATTGTATAAAAAATAAAAATTTTTATTTTCCGTCGAAATTTGGTTTATTATTTCCTTATTATACAATGGATTCCTGGGGTTTTTTTTTTTTTTGATAGAGAATTTTCAAGAATTCGTTATCGAGAAAAATATTAGATTATTGATAATCGATTCATTTGGTGCTCTTATAAAAAGTAATTTATTGGTAAAAAAAGATTCCTTAGGCAAAAGAAGTCGATTACTAGTTAAATTTGCTGTATGATTAAAGTAGGTAATTATAGATTTTCATAATGTGTATAAAATCAATTTTTTACTCATTTTATTTTGATTTATTTTTTATCTCAATATTTAATAGATTCTTATCCGATTCGACAATCGGACAAGTCAAGTAATTTCATTGAATAACATTCGAGATCATTAACTGATATTACAATATCAATTATTATTGGCAATAACATTTTCGATCTTGAAGTAAAATCCTTCAAGCAATTTTTAGCACACGATTCAATGAAAAAAAAAGAAAAGCCTTGAGTACATTAAAATTCTTGTTAATTGAAAGCTAATAATATTTATCTATAAAAACTTGAAATAACGCACATGACGTACTCAAAATGACGAACAAACGCCCATTATTCGAGTTTTTACGTACTTATTGTATTACATGACCATGACCATTCCAGTATCTTAAAATTATTAAAGATAATTACCAGAAGCTCATATGGTATAAGGTTTATCAAGCCAATAAAATTACTAATCATCCATCTTTGTTTTGTATTATAAAATATCTATTCAATCATAACCTGATCTCGGTTTATAAATCCATTTCTGGTTAGTTTTGTGCGTACTCACAACTTCAACACCTCTTTCTCGCGCTTTGAAGGTTTCTACCATTTGTAAGCAATACAACCACCTCATTATTATTGCCACCTTTTCCTGATTTGTTATGAAAACCGTTATTCCCGTGATTCTTGGCATGCCACAGGCAGATGCCAAGAATAAGATCATCCAAAATTTTCTTTTTTATCTTCATCACCAAAATCAAATTCTTCACTAAAGTTAATTCCAGATACATAATTGCCTTTACTTGTCTGAACTCTGAGTTTTTTAGCCAATGATAAAGCTTGTTCAAGATAAGTAATTGCTGCAGTGCCAAGAGGGGGTGGGTTAAGTTTTAACCCATCCAATTCCATGATAAATATGAGAATAAGAAAAAAATCAAATAAAACTCAAGTGTTTCTGTTATATTAACTAGTGTTCTGATCCTCTATGTGGATCCGAATTCGATCCACCAGCGAATCAGATCGGTCCGAATCTTCTACAGAACAGTAATATATAATATTTACTTACCAACCGAAGGTACAACCACCATCCAATTATCACTTTGGATGAATTTTTTGACCATGTTGAGATCCCCGATAAGGCAATTGGTATCTATCACAATTGTAGTATATCCTGCAGCAATTCTAGAAGACGAAGATGTTCTCATCTTTTTAGTTACATGAGAGGTATTTTTCTTGGGAAAATTTTGTGTTGAGGAACCTCACGAGTTGCAGCTAAAAGATTCTCTAATTCTTGTTTGCGAGACTAAATAGAATAAGTAACGTAATATCATGTATATAACATGAATATTTACATAAATATTTATATAAATAAAGACATACTTTCAATTCCATAATCCCTTCATCGTCTGACTCATTGTGATCACTTATGTATTCATTATTGGAAAAATCTGTAGATTTTGTTGTAACAGGACTAGTTTCATCATCTTCAGTATATAAATTTGAAGGATTTTCATTTCCTTGTCAGAAATTTCACAAATAATTTTAAGGAAGACGTAAAAGTGATATCTTCAATATTATATATTAAACAGTAAATATTACTTTCATAATTGATAAAGAAACTATAAATAAATTATATGAGTAAATGAACGAATTAAATTACCTTAGTTAACAGATAACCCAATTCCATAATCCTTGTTCTATGACGACTTTTAGAATATTGATCAGAATCAGATTCAAATAATCGTTAATATTATTTATGACAAGTTCAATGCCATCCCATCATCCATAAATTTTATATATGGTTTAGGTACATGTTCAAACATATAAGGTTCATAAATTGACTGAAGCCAAGAAATACCACGTAATTCCCAATCTTCAGTTAAGAAGACGATCTATAGAATTTGAATCTTCAATGTTTGATGGAAATTCTATAATTTCTTTTATGGTAAATGGAGATACTTGATGGGCAATTTCTGTGAGGAATCGAACAAAACTATCCCGAAAGTCAAGGTAAATAGATTTGTCCAAAAATTTTCTCCGAATACAATTATTAGATTTTTCTGCAAAGTTATTAAAAGCATCATTTGCTACCATCCAAAGTAACACAATCTCATAATATAAAAGCAAGCCCTCAAAATCATCGATTTCACACTGAAACGATATAGAGTCAAGATATTTAGACATGAATTGATATATGACAGTAAAAGTGAGCCTGGATTCTTCAGCAAATGTTGGATCTAAATCTATAATTTGATTAAAATCCATATTCGTTAATGTGGTTAACCTGAGAGACGAATTTCGGTATTGCCATAGTTGTATAAGCTTGATGTATTAATAACCGTCATTCGCATGTAAAATTCCAGCCACCTTGTCCCATTTGTATCATTATAACTCTGAATATAATATCTTTCAATCTGAATAATTTATCTATAAATATTTCTAAATTCTGATCAAAAAATTCAAGACCAACTTTGGTAAAAAGCATTCCATGTGATCTGATATACAAGCTCTCAAATGATTGATTATTCAGATTATCACATCATTTATTTGAAGAATGTAAAGTTTCGCGTTGCATATAAGTACGGCTTTTTTGCTTTTGTTTATTATTGCTTGTTACGAGAGTTGCAAACTGTTTACGATTTGATTCGAATGACCAGATAAGTGGCTCACAAGCGGTAATATAGGATGTATCAACCATAAGGCTTTAAATGAAGTATGAAATTGTTATAATAATGAATAAATAACATTAAAAGATCACACTAATAAATATATATGCGTACCTTCTACAATAATAATATAACGTTTTAAACTCAGAGAATAGCCAAGTGATTATATAGTTTTCCTAGGAATAAATAAATAAATATAAATATATATAAAATATAAAGTTTAACTACAAGTAAAAGTATTAAATTATTATACCATTATTAGATTTGAGCAGAATCCCTAAACGATACAATCGAGTTGCATTTTCTGTCCAGAATTGTTTATTCTTGTCTTGATCTTCCGAACAATGATATCTAGCAATGTCCCCCAAACAACCTATACAACCTATACAACGTAGGTTAATTGCTCTCCAAATTCTTATTACTAAGTTTCGAATTTTCAGAAATAAGGTTTAGTAATTTTTTAAAATATGTTAAATTGACTTAAAATAACAGTAGATAATGATGATGATGGTTTATTTGAAGTTCCAAAGAAATTACTTGACGAAATTGTTCAATTAATGAGTAAACCGCAATTTTCCAACATCTTGATTCAATGTCATGTTTCACAGCCGAAGAATAACTAAGATGAATATATTCACAATACTTTTTAGCCAATCTACAATTACAAAGATTTAAATTTAAATTCAAAAATGAATGGAAAAAATGAGATAATTCCTTAATGCATAGTTTAAGTGAGAGTTAATCTTAATTTGCTAATAAGTTTCGCCCTGAAAGAGTGAAAACTTTCATCAAGGTTTTTAATATTTATGAAGGATTGATCGGAATTTTCAGATATTTGTTTCTCCATTGACACAATTTTCGTGGAAAGTAATTTTATACTTTGCACTATCTCTATTTGTTTTAAATCGGCATCGATAGGTGCATTAGCACTATTTGTTCTTGAGCGTTTATTAGAGGACTTTAACTTTATGTCAGTCAGTCATTCTTCAGTAGCATAAAAGATGTTTACAGCTACAATAGACCACCATTTAAAGTTGAAGTGTGAAAAAGCAAACTGCATAACCAAGTTTGGTATTTTTTTTTTTTTGATTTTACGTGTACAAACACGCAGAATTAAAATAAAAATCATTCATCAAATTTTGTTAGATAATTGTTGAGAAATCTTCACTTAAAGTTGAAAAAAATTTTTACTACGTTTTTTAATTTGTCAAACTTTAAGTGAAGTTTACTCAACGAATATCTAACTAAATTTGATAAAAAAATTTTTTTATATTAATATTATTAACTTATAGAATTTAAATAAATAAAAAAACTTCACTGAAATAAGTTAAGTATTCATCGAGAAATATTTGCTTAATGTTTTAAAAACCCAAATTTTAAAAGAATTTTCATGGTCAAACATCCCACCAATGTATTTCGACCCGGAAATCTTCCCTGTTAAAAAATGATATATTGAATAACCCGATTACATACACATAAATTATGGTAATATTTCAACATTTAGGCAATAATAATAATAATAAGTATTCGGTCTAAGTTTTCATAGACATTCCTTAAATCTAGAAATAACTTTTATGTTCATTTTGATTATTTTATCACTGTTTTTAAATTAGTGCTATAGAACGAAATCTGTAAATCCTACGCACGTACGTACGTACTATACATAGGGTAACTGCATACGACATTGTCGCGCTAAAACAAGGAATGTGATACAATTACAATATTAGCGCTAAATATAACACTATAATCCGTATACAAATAAATATATTTTTATTTTAATTATTACGCTGATGCTGAATTTTTTTCGCATACAGTACGTATCGGTATCTACGATTTAATTGTCTGGTAGAAAGGATCGGCAAAATTGTAAAAGTCCCAGCGTTACCAACAATCGAGGGCGCAGTCACAGGATCTCCGACCATACGATTCTCTGGAAAATTGGTTC